GTTGCCACGTACGGCCCCGTGAAATTTTCTGGCTGGAATTTGGGTAACTCGAGAACTGAGAAAGCTAGGAACCCGAGATTTTGAGGGAATGTTCCCTGTCCAAGCATAGCGTAGATAATTAACTTCCCGAAATTCGATGAAGCATTTTTGTTTAATTGATTAATTTCTATATTTTACATATAACCATGAATACATGTGTATGTATGTGTACATATACATATCCACATATACAGGCTTCAAATAAGAGTAACTTCATGATAGATTATGATGACTTTTTTCTTAACATTTGTCATTCAACAAAGCCCAGAACAGTGAGGAAATGAAAGAATCTAGGGAGTAAGAACTGGGGATTTGCAAGCAGCAGTACGGGAGGAATGTGTGGTAATTCATAAAATAAGATGAAATCGACGAACAACGTTTTGGGAACAAGTATTGAAAAGAAGTGTGTAGCATAAGTTAATTTCTGTTCGGTGCTAACTGCAGCCTGTTTTCCCTGCGTTGTACTGAGAATATGCTTCTTCTTTGTTTTTTGAGCGGTGCAGAAGGGAGAGGCGCGAAAGAATTATAAAAAATATGTTTAGTAGCAGGCAACATTTAGAGCAATGAAAAGGCAATATGGAAATGGTTAAATCAAATTTATACCTTCAGTACTTTAAATATCATTTATTTGTGTCTAGAAGTGCCAGTAGCGGACTGTAATAGCTTGACAAATGAACGGCATGCTGAACAACGTGAAACAATCATAAATACTGCCGAAAGGGATAAACTACATTAAAAAGACAAAGTCCTGATCTCTTCCGGTTTTCATCTCGACAACATGAAGGAGGCACCCAGAGATAACTAAACCATGGTGAATGTCAGTGACACCCTCAGCTGGTAGTACTGTCGTCGAATTCCTCTTTCGAGAGTTACTTCTAAGCAACCTGATAATGGTTTTCATTGACTGATATGCTCTAGTACCAATTTATCTCCAAAGCGAATGAACGAATCGTAGAGGGATAAGCTATGCACCGAAGAAGTCGAGCTCTCGAGAACAGTGCAAGTTGTTATAGCTCCATACTTGCCAGCAATATATGTGATAAAAAAAAAACCTGTAGACGTTCGCGGCGCGAAGGACTTCGTATGAGATCGTTTTCAAATGCAGTTTCGGTATTCATGCTGCTATTATCCAGTGTCATTCCTGTCTTGGAGGATGTCGCAGCGCTATCCACAGAGATATACGACAAGTTTCTTGCATTTTTCTTAACAAGAGAGTTCTACCACAAAGTACCTTTTCGTTAAGAAGAAATAAAGCTTCCTTTAGTGATGGCCACAAAAGACGGTTTCAGAAATGAATGACCGGCCCACCAAGTTAATGAAAGAATACCTTACCTTATTCGTGTAGTTGAGCGAATTTTCAAGACTGCCAGTACAAGCGGGCTTCTGTTTTTTCTCACATAGTGCATCATCTGTTAACTCAGCCTCAGACCTGAACAAAGACGGCTGCAACAAATAACTAGAACTGTTTGAGATCACATAATCAAAAATTACAAGCATGAAGTGAGCGAGCAGCCACTCGGTTTTTTAGTACGCATTCGCTGCAAGCAAGTGCAGTACAAATTCTTGCTTCAAAAATCATTCAGAGAAAGTTATTCTACAGACATTATCTTTATCAGGAAAATCAGTGTGGAGCAACGATATTGCTGAGATCCTCGAATTTCTCCTAACTCAATTTGTCACCTGCTACATTTACTGAGGAAGAGAACCATTTCATTTATCTGCTACTTTCTTCTTTCTCGAGAATACCGTCCGGTGGTATTAGTCATCTGCCACTATTACGAAGCGAGATGACAGGAGCGACGAAACGCTCTCACTATGCCAAACTGATAAATTTACAATAAAATCAAATTAAAACTGACCTTGCACGCCTGATATCGATAGAATCCTTTAAAACAGAGGCGGGTTCTGTTCGAAAACGTGTCCTAGTTATAAAAGATGAATTTTCGAGAGGGATCCCTGAAAGACTGTTACACAGCTTGCCGTCCACGTATGCACCAAACAATGTCTGATCCGTGAAAGCGCCAGACATAGCACCGAATGGTAAAACAACACTATGACTGAAGGTTGTTGCACTGTGACTGCGGCGACGGCTACCTGAAATGCACCTGTAATACAATGTTTTTCGTAATTACAGATGATAAAATGACTGGGCTATGCCTTGGCTTCTGAGCTGTGCTATTTCGAATTCTTGATGAAGTTGTTTCCAGTTCGTGATAAAAGCACGTCCTGGGTTGCTGGTAAGACGATTTCGTGCCTATGCGCTCCTGACAAGACGACATTCCTGGACCGCTGATAAGCATATATTAAGTTGTTAATGAACATACCTTTTTTAGACATTTCTTTCGAAAGACTACCATCTCTTGTTCCTTTAAAAACTTTTGGAACCTCGATTTCTTCAAATTCGCTTTGTGATACAGTATCTTTGCCTAAATCATTGACAATCATATAAACAAACTTTGATGAAAGATAAACAATCACAAAAAAAGGCACACAATTACACGAAAAACCGCACACACACTAAGATGTAATAGGCAAATATACACCAAGTATTGATATGTTAACAAATCGATTGTTGAATATTTTAGTGAAAACATGATGCGGATGTGTAACGTACCAACTGTTCCGAAGGAGCTGTAAGGGGAAGACTTGTCTTCGTCCTCTTCGTATACCACTCGATCAACCAAAACACTCAGCTCAGCAGCGGTACCCGAAAGTAGCTTGCTTAGTTGACGTTCGGTAGTTATCGGCACATTATTCACCGCTATTACCACGTCTCCTATAAAGTCATCTATTCCATTACCAGCAAGAGAACGAACTGCGGTGCCTGGCAATGCTGATGCTACCTGGTTTAAAGCCACATCGTTCAGCCGACGAACCATTAGCTACTGCTGCAATTTGCACTGATCTGTCGCCCACATCTGAGATCAGCTAAACAACAGGAGACAGTTAGGAAACAAAATGTCATGCCGAAAACATCTCATACAAAATAAAAAGTGAGCAGCACTGTTACAGAATAAGCAACGGGTATAGAATGTGGAATCAAGCCAATAGCAAACACACATGTGCAATGGTGAGAACAAAAGCCCGGCAGCCAGTGAAAGAGTACCGTAAGAAAGCTATCCGAAAAAAGTAATCCAGCGGGGCACGCAAAGAACGACACTGTGGAACGTGATGAATCTCTTTTCTACATTTAATGAAAATCCACGAAAATGCTAGTTCTTTTCCCATAAAAATCCAAAAAAAAA